CATTGAATCTTTGACTCAACCGATTCGGTCAAAATGCTGAATCATTCAGTAATGAAAACAGGTTGAGTGTTCCTGTGAGATGCGCCGTGGTTCTGCTGTGATTTTTGTTTGGAACTATTTTCGCTGCAGAAACAGAACAAAAACAGCCAATATTTCATCTAAAATGTAAGTGACTTAATTGTAACTGTTTATTGAACTGTTGTAGGAAATCAATGTCACATTGTGATATGGTATTCAGGAAAAATAATTGAGGCTGCTTAACACATATGTTAAAATATAGAAACTCCACATTTAGATTTGTTTATAGGCAGTATGTTGTTAACTGAGTGTGTGTATGTGTGCTGCGCTCATGTGTGTAGATTTCTCCTCGAGAGGCTGCGCGAGCGTCAACAGCGCACCTCACCGTCAGCAGGCTAATGCATTTATTATCCACAATCGATCGCAACTTACAATAAATGTAATAAAATCATTCTCTCGGTTTAGTGATTCCCTAGTTATTTGTTTGTTTGTTATTGATGTTCTAATCAGGCTACTTGTCCGTTCGGGCAAGTAAAATTCTCTTTTACTTGTCCTTCAAAAATCCATTTGTCGCGGACAAGTTAGACGGGCTCTGGAGATACGAAGCGCGGCAGGTTAGAGTGTTTTGGATTGCATAAAATAATAAAAGAAACGAACAAATACATGGCGAAAGAAGTGGTAGACAGCAGAAGAGGGTATTGGGATTTGGGATGATTTTTAATGAAACTTGGGAGGCGGATGGAGGTTACTCTGTAAGTTGTAACTCATCATGTGGTGTGTGCGTGCCTATGAATGCATGCATTTGTATGTGTGCGTACTGCGTATATGAATAAAAGTGTCCTTAATGACAAAAAAAAAACAAAAAAAACTTGTAGCCTATATGTATTATAGTTCAGTTTGACGAACGATGTGTGAACGACCATGTAGCTGCCTCGTTTGTTTTGCTGGAGGACAACAGATGGCATCTTGCATCGCGTGCTGTACAAAAACGTAAATTATAGTTCGCCTCAAAGTTTTTTATTTGTGTATTTATTTAATTTTTATTATTTCTTCCCCAAGCTCATAAAATAAATTTGGGTCGCACATAAATTGACAGGGTCGGTCGGAAACCGGAACCAAACAAATTTTTTTTTTAAGCCTAATAGTGCTAGAACAAGTATAACTTGACCTTCTATTTCAAGTGTGACAATTGAACCTGAAGTAATACCATCTCTTGTATCATTTCTTTCTAGACTCATCATTTGATTAGCCTGCCAAAAAATCGAAACACAAAATTATATTTAAATATCTACATAACTCTTTTTTTTTTGTGTGACACCACTCATTAAAGGGTTAGTAAGTTCACCCAAAAATGAAAATTATGTCATTAATGCTCACCCTTTTGTCGGTCCAAGCCCGTCAGACCTCCGTTCATCTTCGGAACACAGTTTAAGATATTTTAGATTTAGTCCGAGAGCTTTCTGTCCCTCCTTCAAATGTATGTACGGTATACTGTCCTTGTCCAGAAAGGAAATAAAGACATCATCAAAGTAGTCCATGTGACATCAGTGGGTTAGTTAGAGTGTGTTGAAGCATCGAAAATACATTTTGGTCCAAAAATAACAAAAACTAGGACTTTATTCAGCATTGTATTGTCTTCCGGTTCTGTAGTGGATCCGCGTTCAGTGACGCCGCTGACGTAAGACGCTGCTGACGTGTGTCTGGTGTGTGTGTGTGTGTGTGTGTGTGTGTATTCTGGTTCTGTTGTGGATCCGCGTTCAGTGCCGCTGCTGACGTAAGACGCTGCTGACGTGTGTCTGGTGTGTGTGTGTGTGTGTGTGTGTGTATTCTGGTTCTGTTGTGGATCCGCGTTCAGTGGCGCTGCTGACGTAAGACGCTGCTGACGTGTGTCTGGTGTGTGTGTGTGTGTGTATTCCGGTTCTGTTGTGGATCCGCGTTCAGTGGCGCCGCTGACGTAAGACGCTGCTGACGTGTGTCTGGTGTGTGTGTGTGTGTGTGTGTGTGTGTGTGTATTCTGGTTCTGTTGTGGATCCGCGTTCAGTGCCGCTGCTGACGTAAGACGCTGCTGACGTGTGTCTGGTGTGTGTGTGTGTGTGTGTGTGTGTGTGTGTATTCTGGTTCTGTTGTGGATCCGCGTTCAGTGCCGCTGCTGACGTAAGACGCTGCTGACGTGTGTCTGGTGTGTGTGTGTGTGTGTGTGTGTGTATTCTGGTTCTGTTGTGGATCCGCGTTCAGTGCCGCTGCTGACGTAAGACGCTGCTGACGTGTGTCTGGTGTGTGTGTGTGTGTGTGTGTATTCTGGTTCTGTTGTGGATCCGCGTTCAGTGGCGCTGCTGACGTAAGACGCTGCTGACGTGTGTCTGGTGTGTGTGTGTGTGTGTGTATTCTGGTTCTGTTGTGGATCCGCGTTCAGTGCCGCTGCTGACGTAAGACGCTGCTGACGTGTGTCTGGTGTGTGTGTGTGTGTGTGTGTATTCCGGTTCTGTTGTGGATCCGCGTTCAGTGGCGCTGCTGACGTAAGACGCTGCTGACGTGTGTCTGGTGTGTGTGTGTGTGTGTGTGTATTCTGGTTCTGTTGTGGATCCGCGTTCAGTGGCGCTGCTGACGTAAGACGCTGCTGACGTGTGTCTGGTGTGTGTGTGTGTGTGTGTGTGTGTTCTGGTTCTGTTGTGGATCCGCGTTCAGTGCCGCTGCTGACGTAAGACGCTGCTGACGTGTGTCTGGTGTGTGTGTGTGTGTGTGTATTCCGGTTCTGTTGTGGATCCGCGTTCAGTGGCGCTGCTGACGTAAGACGCTGCTGACGTGTGTCTGGTGTGTGTGTGTGTGTGTATTCCGGTTCTGTTGTGGATCCGCGTTCAGTGGCGCTGCTGACGTAAGACGCTGCTGACGTGTGTCTGGTGTGTGTGTGTGTGTATTCTGGTTCTGTTGTGGATTCGCGTTCAGTGCCGCTACTGACGTAAGACGCTGCTGAGTGACGTGTGTCTGGTGTGTGTGTGTGTGTATTCTGGTTCTGTTGTGGATTCGCGTTCAGTGCCGCTACTGACGTAAGACGCTGCTGAGTGACGTGTGTCTGGTGTGTGTGTGTGTGTGTGTGTGTGTGTGTGTATTCTGGTTCTGTTGTGGATCCGCGTTCAGTGCCGCCGCTGACGTAAGACGCTGCTGACGTGTGTCTGGTGTGTGTGTGTGTGTGTATTCCGGTTCTGTTGTGGATCCGCGTTCAGTGCCGCTGCTGACGTAAGACGCTGCTGAGTGACGTGTGTCTGGTGCGCCCGAGCTTCGTTTACAGTCTGAGGGAGACGCAATCTTCGCAAACATGTCTAAGGATTTCCACACAGAGGAAGACTTGCATTTTTTTGCCCAGCCATATTTATTTAAACCCGAATACACGGGCGCACCAGACACACGTCAGCAGCGTCTTACGTCAGCAGCGGCACTGAACGCGGATCCACAACAGAACCAGAATACACACACACACACACACACCAGACACACGTCAGCAGCGTCTTACGTCAGCAGCGGCACTGAACGCGGATCCACAACAGAACCAGAATATACACACACACACACACCAGACACACGTCAGCAGCGTCTTACGTCAGCAGCGGCACTGAACGCGGATCCACAACAGAACCAGAATACACACACACACACACACCAGACACACGTCAGCAGCGTCTTACGTCAGCAGCGGCACTGAACGCGGATCCACAACAGAACCGGAACACAATACAATGCTGAATAAAGTCCTAGTTTTTGTTATTTTTGGACCAAAATGTATTTTCGATGCTTCAACACATTCTAACTAACCCACTGATGTCACATGGACTACTTTGATGAGTAAGCAATAAGGTACGAGAGGCTGTGCTGTATCGTGAATAAGTAACGGCTGGAGGGCGTTGTTAGGCACGACGCGAAGCGGAGTGCCTGCAACCCCTTCAGCCGTTACTTATTCACGATACAGCACTTGCCTCGAGTACCTTATTGCTTTTATAAAACGGTTGCCACACAATAAAAATATTAAAGCCGAAAAATATGTATCTATGCAACTTTCATGAAGTAAAATCACTAAAAGCCTGCCTTCCGCTGGAAAAAATAGTCCCGGAACGTGAACAGCAACAGAAGTTACATATATTATTTCGCCAATAGATGGCGGCAAAGACTGTCTTTATGAGTGAGTGAGTGAGTGAGTCTGTAGAGAAGGCTTTTGAAAGGACTCGAACTTGTGATCACGGAGAAGACAGACGCAACTGACAGATGACTAACGTTATGCACGGAAAACCCCATGACTGTTAAAAGGACAAAATATGCAGCGGACATTCAAACGCATTTTTTTATTATGAATATAGGACTGACCTGAAGGAAAATGCTACGTCTACTGTAAATGCAGGTACACTCGCTTACTCGATCTCTCACAATGCTCTGCTCTAGCTTTAAATGAACAATATCAATGAGATGAAACATCTGTTTAAGTTGCTAAGAGTGGTTGCTAGGGGTGTTGTGTAGTGATACATAGAACCGTTGGGTGAAGCGGTCATAGCCGTGTTTTATCGTGAATAAAGCACAGCTATTGACCAATCAGAATCAAGGATTGGAACTAACCGTTTTATAATTGTCTTTATTTCCTTTCTGGACAAGGACAGTATACATTTACAATGGAGGGACAGAAAGCTCTCGGACTAAATCTAAAATATCTTAAACCGTGTCCTGAAGATGAACGGAGGTCTTACGGGCTTGGGACGACATGAGGGCGAGTCATTAATGACATCATTTTCATTTTTGGGTGAACTAACCCTTTAAATTCAACATAATGAGGTCATGTGACAGTGTAGCATACGGCTTTGTGCATTTTTCTTAAGAATAGTAGGCAGCGTAAAGTACATACTCTGCAGTACGTTAGTATTGTATTCTGAGCACAGCCTTTGTATGTGCAAGTTGAAATATCTCCCCCTCCTAATCTGAAAGTCCTTGTGTCCTCTCCACAGATCCGTGAAGAGCTCTCTCTCCATCTTCAGCCTGAGACGTGAACCTCAGAAAGACTCTTTAATGAATCAGTATTCGCCGCTCGATGCCATGGCGTTCAAGTGAGTAGTTGTTTGCTTCTGCAGATGTGTTGAATGCTTGCTCTGTTGTCCTGCTTGTTCTCCTGTATGATCTCAGTCCCTATCATCAGGTTAGCAGGGATGTGGTTACGTCTTCAGGCAAACGCATGGAAAACACTGGCATATAAAGGGTCTCTTCTCCAAAGGGGCCCCTTGGAGACGTTTGGCATTTGCATGGAAGCTGATTTGCATTCTGTCTTGGCTGAGTCGAGTTTTCTGATGCTGGATGCTTGTTGGCTGCTCTCTCGTTTTCCTTTTTGACCCAAATTCCTGTTTTGTTTTCTTTTTATTTCTCTTTCTCTCTTGCTTGCCTTTGCCAGTTCGCAGACAATAAGGAATGAAAATAATGACCATCTTCATTGGTGTTGGTCAGATTGTTTTGAAAGAATTTGACACACAAATGCTGATGTTTTTTTGATAGTGCTCTTTACTGCGAATGTACTCTCTGCAAGTATTGCAGCTTTATGAAATGTGTCGGAAGCAGAACACAATTCATAAAGGAACACAAGTATATGTTTGGTTTGTTACCTCACACAGGAACACAATAATTCAGGTTAAAGGGTTAGTTCACCCAAAAATGAAAATTGTGTCAGTACTTACTCGCCCTCATGTTGTTCCAACCCCGTAAGACTTTCGTTCATCTTCGGGACACAAATGAAGATATTTTTGATTAAATCTGAGAGCTGGATCACTCCTCCATAGGCTTCTTAAGGGATCGAAACTTGCCGGCCCCGAAAAGTTATTAAAGAAATCGTTAAAATATTCCGAGTGACTACAGTGGCTCAATCTTAAGTTTATCAAGCGACGAGAATACTTTTTGTGCGCAAAACAAACCAAAATAACGATTTTATTCAACTATTAATTTCCTTCTCTGTGGGCCTCGAGTCAGTTCACGTAGTGTAACAGCGCAGCGCTTCTGTGTTGTACGTCACACACATGACCAGCGTCGGCCAATAGTGAGCCTACGTGTGACGTACAACACAGAAGCGCTGCGCTGTTAAGGGCTGTTCACACCGTGACGAATTTCGCGTGATATTCGCCGACGTTTAACGCCTCGTGACTAAACAAAGGGCGCCAATGTGAGTGTGCACACCGATGCGAAAAAACGCCACGCGTAAAAGCGTCTTTTTTTTTTAAAAACGCCTCAGGTGCATGTTTTTGGTTTGACGCACCGCGTCAAAAACTATCCGACCAATGAGATTGGCGCTTTTGCTCACGTGTCTGGAGCGTCTGAAGTTACAGTAAAACACAACTTGGGGGCGCTCAAACACAAAACGGTCTTGCCGAGCACACAAACATAACGGCGAAGAAGATGCGCCAAGTAGCGTCTACACTGCTGGGAAGAAATAAGACGAGGAAGATGCAAGGCAAGATGAATGTAGAGCTGCTAGGCTCGTTGGTGTCGGAACATAAAGAACTATATGACAAACGCGACAGCGACAACAACATAGGACTATTTCTGTTTTACATTAAGCGCCATCTAATGTCAGGGAATGAATGTGCACGTTCACTCGGCTCATCGTCAGCGAAAATCGCTTGGGTGTGAACACAAAAAACGCGTTGAAAAACACTGGCGAATAACGCGTGCCGATATTCGTCCCTGTGTGTACGAGCCTTTACACTACGTGAACTCACTCGAGGCCCACAGAGAAGGAAATTAATAGTTGAATAAAGTCGTTATTTGAGGTTTTTTTGCGCACAAAAAGTATTCCCGTCGCTTGATAAACTTAAAGTCCCTGTAAAGTCAAAATTAAAAGTATTCCCGTCGCTTGATAAACTTAAAGTCCCTGTAAAGTCAAAATTAAGTATGTGTTCTGAGGTTGTCACACAACAGAAAAATGTGTTATTAGCCACCCAGCCAAATTTGAATGATAAAAAAAGCCGGCAAGTACATAAAATAAGCAAAAATAAGCAGTATTCTCTGCTCTCAAACGCTGGGGGCGTGTCCACTGGCTGTGCTGAAACCACGCCCACTTGCGGGAAAGCAGCCGACGGTGATATTAGCTGATACTGCTTTCGGGACGGGGAGATGAAGGCCGAGGCGGGAGATAGTCGGTTCGGCCCCATTCACCAGTAACAGCGGATTATCAGTGAATCCCAGTTGTCTCCGACGAAAGTTTATAAAACTATCCGTGTACAATGATCGCTACAGAGGCGGGTGTTGGCGGTGATCCTCAGCTCTCCATCAAGATTGGCTCTTCACAAAATTAATCCACCTCTTCTTGATGTGATCGTTTTCAGGAAATTTAAATAAAGACACCGATCTGTTTTGTACATGATCGCATCCAGGTAGTAGCCTACGCATTTCCGTGTCGAAGGCATAGCTAGCTAGAAAACTGTAGGCTGTAGTAACTAATAATACTGACAGTACTCGCGATTGAGCGGTGAACTGATGAGAATGTGCTCTATTGTTAGGGGAGGGGCCAGCCTCAGTGGCTCCAGTGCGTCATCAAGTAGGGGCGTGTCCAGGAGCTCAAGGGCTCCAGTGCGTCATCGAGCCCTGTTTTAGCCCCGCCCAAAAAATCCGGAAAATAGCAATGGTGAAAAACTGTTTAACGGTCTAACTCCACAATTCAGTATTTCACAGTTCACAGTCTTTGTAATATGTTTTAGCAATACATTTCTAACATTTATAATGGGTTTAGAATTTTTTTTTAGAATTGCCTTTACAGGGACTTTAAGGTTGAGCCACTGTAGTCACTCGGACTATTTTAACGATGTCTTTAATAACTTCTGGGCCGGCAAGTTTCGATCCCTTAAGAAGCCTATGGAGGAGTGATCCAGCTCTCAGATTTAATCAAAAATATCTTCATTTGTGTCCCGAAGATGAACGAAAGTCTTACGGGGTTGGAACAACATGAGGGTGAGTAAATACTGACACAATTTTCATTTTTGGGTGAACTATCTCTTTAAGTGGGGTCAAGAAGGGATAGGGATATTAGAAATAACTGACTATATAGGCCTACATTTAATTAAATTGTAGCTTTCGTGATTTGGCTATCGCATTACGCCATATCATGATATTGATTTTATTTCGATGTATATTATGCAGCCCTTGGATCTGCATTCACTTGTGTAGAGTATGTTTTTGGCTTAATGATTCTGTCTTGCGTTTTACTTTCTAATTTTTGAATATAAAGGCATTGGAAAACTTTGACTTAGTCAGGGAAAGTAATGAATATTTAATATCCATGAAAATAATGTGATTTGCGGCGAAGTGCCTCTTACCTGCTGGTTCTTGTACCTCTTATGAAAGTGATGGATTGGACTCCAGATCAGCAGGAAAATCCCGATGGCAAATTAAGTTGTCAGTCAACGCTGACGTCTCTGTTAGTGATCGACGGATGTTTCCATCCGGGGGAAAGTGTTGCAGCGACTCTTGGAAATTTGGACAGCCCGCTGAAACAGTCACATAATTCAATGCAGTTTCCCTGATTTTCTAGTGAATAAGCAATTTGTAAGATTAGCCATTATTTTCTAATGGTGTCAGCAACCCTGAATCAGAGCTTAAATGCTATTTCAGTTTGCGTGAGAGATCTTTAGGATACGGCAAATAGAAATGGGAGAACTTCATTGTTTTTCAGTAAAGTACAATATGTTGCTATGTTGTGAATGTAGTCATGGGTATTATTATTTTAACACAATTTTCCTATGAAAACGAACCATTGAGGTGGCAAGCCTTTAGTCTATCATGTCTTTTTAAATCAACAACAGCTGCAGACGTAAAATCCTCCTAAGACTTATGGAAGTGACAAGCTTGTTGACGAGTTTTTGAAAAAGATCAAAGGTAACCTAGCAACCAGTGTGCGCGGCTGATCGGAGGCCCCCGGTTTAGCCGTCCTTTGTATCGCCTGCGCTCGTGAGTTTTGTAGCACAATTGTTTGTGTGGAGGAATGATAAATGTGCTGCCAAAAAGACGTAAAGAAAACACGGAGTATGAGAATGAGGGATGCTCGCTGTCATCGGGTCCCGAACAAAGACTCCCTCTACTCAAGACTACTTGAGATTCATGTCTGTCTTTCTCTCATTCTCTTTCCCTCGTTCTCTCTATGTCTTGTGTCTGAGTTAATATTGACAGAGATTTTTTTGGAGGACTGTAGTGACGACTACTTCATTTTGTTCTCTTTTACTCTTCGTAAGAGTTGTTTAGACAGTACAGTTATTGAATGTGATTTTGTACACAAAAAAAAGGTCATTCCAAACCTGGATGCTTTTCTTTCTTCAGTAGAGCACAAAAGCTGAACAAACATAGTGACCATGGGCTGTTAAGATCCTAAATGACAGGAAAGGATGATAAATGCACCTTCAAATTGGAGTTAACTATGTTCAAAGTCTTCTGAAGTGATCGGTTTGTGCTTTTCCGGAGCTCAACAGCCTCTGGTCACTGTATGATGATTTATGGAAAAGTGTTGTGTGGAAATTCTGCCTAACTTCTGCTTTTGTGTTGCATGAAAAAAGGAAAATAATACACGTTTATATCGGGTTTAGTTTATAATTGACCCAGCACACACTTTGGCCTGCCTGGATTTGACAAGATTGTTAAAAACAGAAAATAATTAACTTATAAGTAAGCATTCTCTGAAACCGCAACAATGAAGCTCCAAACAGCTCCGTTTCAAAAAGGTGTTTTGTGAAACATTATATGAGACAAAAAAGGGCTTTAATTGTAATTAAATTGCATTGTGCCATCTTCAAAAAAAAAAAAAAAAAAAAAAAAAAAAAAAAATATATATATATATATATATATATATATATATATATATATATATATATATATATATATATATATATATACATATTTATTTATTATATATATATATTTTGGCCACTTAGTATTTAAAAACAATGAACCAATAATTTAACATTTAAAATTATTTAATTAATGAAAGTTTCACCATCTCAAAAAACTAGATTATTATTACAAAATGAATCAATAATAAATTAAGGAAAAGTTCACAAATGAATAAAAATTAAACGTGCCA